TCAAGTGGACTCTCATTCATGAATCAAGGCGGAGCTTTAATTTAGAGGGAGATTTAAGATTAGAGAAATACAAGATTGGATCAAATTTCAAGAAAGGGTTGTCATCATCAAAAATAAGGAGAATGTGAAGTCAAGCTTCTCAAATTGTTTTGATGAAGATAAGCTAGAATATAAAGAAGGTTTGCAAACTGGAATGGCTCAAGATAACTAGCATATCAAGTTTAAAGAATTATCTAAGTCTTGAAGAATCATAGCATGATTGATAAAATTGTCTAAGATATAACATTCAAATCTAAAATATGTATACAAGTGTTCATAAATAACCCTCCATTCATGCCAGGATGTTTTAAAATAGTTTTGATATCAAAAGTTTGTAAATCATATCATTTGGTAAGGTATTTTTGCAAATCAGGTACATTAGACAAATTTTGAATTCTTTTGTTAATGTTACAGGGTGTAACCGGATAACCTATATGCGGGAAACGGGTACACACAAAATAGAGGCAAAAAATGTTGTAGCTTTTCACTTGAAATGTTTTGTACCTTTTGGGATTAAACCATTGCATTCTTTCATAGATTATGCTCATTTATAGAGGTGTATGGAGGATATATAAACTCTATTATTTCATATTTCAAATCATCTATTTCATCTACAATTCAAACAAATTAAATTCATCTCATCTTTCAAAATTCAAAGTGTTTTCATATCAGATTTTTTATTGAAACTTTTTACACTTAACTTTCATTGAAAATTATCATAAGTTTCATATAATTCATTGAACACTTGTATACCATTGAGAAAAATTGCATGATTGAAAGAGAATATCAATCTAAGTGATTGATACATATTCATCAACTTTATTACTCAAATAATTTCCAGATTTGGTTTGTAATATCTTGTTGTCCAAGATTATTGGAAACAAGAGAGTAGAAAGGAAATGATTGTTTTTTTATTCTACTTATTTGGTTGTATCTTGTTGTACAAGATTGTTGGAAGCAAGAGGTTGAAAGTGAGAGGATTGTTCTCATTTCAACTTAGTTTACCCAAGAGGATTGTTCTTGGTGGTTTTATTGGTTAGAGTATTGTGTAGAAAGGCTAGGTTGTCTTGTCTAGAGATCTAACAATAATGAAATCTCTTTCGTGTTGAAAGAGGACTGGAGTACTCTTGGACTGTGAGGGGAACCAAGATATATACTTGTGTAGTTTTTTATGCATTTTATTGCTTTCTTAACATCAATATAAACCAGAAAAATAATATCCTTCATTACTAAAACCAGAAAAAAATTTATAGCATCTAATTCACCCCCTCTCTTAGGCGCACTCTAAACTTACAGTTTCCGCTGCCGATCTCCTGGAGTAAAAATTTTGTTATTGTTGTCGTTGCTCCATGTGGCGCTGCCTCCAAATGGGAGAGTGGTGTTTCAAAAACTATGCATCAGAATCATGAAACGTGTAGAGAGTTACTTATCTTCGTCGGTGGTAACAATGTTGTGATACAATTAAGGTTTTCTTTGGATGAACTGATCACTTCTTGGTGAATTTGCGGTTGGACAAAACACTTTTACATCATTGCTCGAAAACTTTCTGATAGAACATAATCACAAAATTATATTATATAGGTACACATATGTCGTAGATTTGTAGTGGTTTTTAGAAGCATACGTATTAACAAGACATAAATATTTCCTAAGAGAGTTGATAATTTCTTTTGCATTAAATGAGTGTTAAAGACAAAGGAGGACCACAGAAAAATCTTACTTCCTCCATAACAAAATATAAGCAAAAAAAAACATATGTATCTGACTTAAATTTTGTTGCAGAAGGTGTTATGTACAAAATTTTACTATAGATTCTCTTACCATGTTTGCTTTTCTTTGTGCCAGTGTTTTTACATGTATTTTTCTAATGTTTAATTTGTGATCTAATCCTCTCGATAAAACTGTATCGGCAATAGTAGGGGGTGAAGAATATTTCATCACACCAAGAGAGGGAGAATCGGTCCCTACATGAATTTTAGCAACTGACTCTTGTGTTGTGGACAAATAGGATATACATGTTGCACAAATTGAAATGGATTATAATCTTGGGATATAAGTAAAGTAAAAAAATCAAAGATTCTTAATTCACATAGGATAACATACTTTTTCTGTATAGAATAGAGTTATACAACATATTCGTATGTAGTTTAAGAGATTATATGTTCAGGTGTCCAACAACGTGTGAAATCGTTAATTAGAATTTTATGGCTCATAGGCAGCACGACACGGTTCTGTTGGAGGAGTTTACATTATGACAATTGATACAGAGTATAGGACTGAGCACCTTTGTGAGAGACACACCACTTATCCACCTAAAATATTAAGGTGATAGGTGAGTGGGTTCTCTCACTTATATATTCTCAAGTCACTACATTCCTATTTAATGTGTGACTATTTCTCCACTTACTCATACTTGCATTATTATTCTAACACTCCCCCTCAAGTGTAAGTCAACAATACAAGTGTGAGTCTACAATGCTCCCCACTTGTACTGTTGTTGACACCTTGCAATGGAACACCTCTTCTTGGATACAAGTGTGAGTCCATAATACTCCCCACTTGTACGGTTGTTGACACCTTGCAATGGAACACCTCTTCTTGGATACTTCGATACTAAGTCGATCCCTTTCTCGAACCAAACTCTGATACCATTTGTTGGAGGAGTTTACATTATGAGCATTGATACAAAGTTGAAGACTAGACACCTTTGTGAGAGACACATCACTTATCCACCTAAAACCTTAAGGTAATAGGTGAGTATATTCTCCCACTTATATATTCTCAAGTCACCATATTCATATCCAATGTGAGACTATTTCTCCACTTACTCACACTTACATTATTATTCTAACAAGTTAAAGATTATTGCATCGTAGTATTTATATAAGACTTGTAATACTGTAAGCCCTAAATACATAAGTTGTTCAAACATGTTCAAAATACATAAGTTGTACAACAAATCAAACGGAAAGTCTTTCGTTTCATGGTGCGTTTGTTTATGCTTTTGTAGTTAATTTCTTGACCTTCATTAGTCCACATATGTTCTTCCATTCAGATTTTGTCAAACTTTAGTGCTTCTGAAAATGATAGAAAATGAAATCAAGTGAAATAACATTTGATTCAAGTGAAATGAAAATACATAATGAAAATTTTAGCTTAACGGATGATCTATCAATAAATGATTATAATTGAATTACCTGTGAGAATCGTTTCGAATTTAACTCCTTCGTAACCCCATTTACAAACAATTTGTATGTTCTCTTTAGTCCACTATATGATTAGTCAATAAGAATCACATTCAATATAAAAAATTTAAACATTAACAACGAAGAATCAAAAAGACCGATTGAAATACAAACGAAAGAAAAGAAATTCTCATTTATTCACACAAAGAGATAAGTTTTTTCTTACTGAACAAACCTAAACATTTTTGCAGCTAATAGATACAGTAGAAAAATACCCCTTTTTTAAACTTTTAGTTTCCTTCATTTTAAAAAGTTACTGGTAGTTCCTTTTATATATATATATATATATATATATATATATATATATATATATATATATATATATATATATATATATATATATATATATATATATATATATATATATATATATATATATATATATATATGTTCTGGACTGGGCCGGGCTGGTCCAAAAGCAATGGTGAAGGCCCAATCCAAACGGTCTTGCAAGAGGTCACGCCGACCAAGAGGCCACATCCGTGCCCGACACTCTCCGCTAGTGCGACATCCTCGACTTCATGCTATCCTGCTCGAGCACTCCTCCTAGGGCAGACTCTGTCCACTACACCATCACCTGCTCGTATTCATTCTTTTACCCATATTCATACTTTTGCCTGCTCGTACTCTCACTTACTCCAGCATCGGAGTGCCTTGCAGATACCCCTTCCCCCCCCCCCCATCTCGTTCAAACTTCAACTCAGAGTCAATCGTGACCGACCAAGTCTGATCAGGTAAGATCAATATATATTGTCTCTTAAAGTTTAGAACAATTTCAAAGAACTTATTGTGACGTGATGTTATATAAACAATTTAAAACATATCATAGTACAAATTTTGAATATTCACTCTTACTCAAAGGAACATAATTATCCCAAATTCCCTAGGCAGTGTTTATTGTACTTAAATGGAACATGTATAAAAAACCAAAAATAAAAATTGAACATGTATAATAATTAATAAAGACTACTCTTTTTACCATTTGATAAAAAGAAGTTTTACCAAATTAAATGTAGACCATTCACACCAAAATTCCCATTTCCTCCCTCCTTCTTCTCTATCCTCAACCACCACTCCCAAGTCAATTTTACTCAAAAAATTGGTACATGTGTTTTTTTTGGATTAGAGACATATTCAAATCTTATACTACCTCCGTTTTAATTATAAAATTTTCATGAGTTTTTTTATTGTCTTTTTTTTATAAAACTCTCTTTAATCTTTAAATTGTATTAATGTTTTTTTTTCAAATTTATCTTTAATTTTACACCATCATTCAATTAACGACACGTTTTTCACTATATCGTACTAATAATTTAAAAAAACTTAAATTATTTAATAGATTCTTAATTTCTTATTAGATAACCATATAAAAAAAAATTATGTTGACACTGTATATCCATTAAATTTATAAATAATTACATACACATCAGCTATTTCTCGATAAATTTATAAAATTATACAAAATAATTAATAAATTTAATATTTTAATTAACTTTCTTAATTTTAACAATTTTCTCAAATGAGATTTTATATTTATAGACTAATGCAGTATTTCATATTTTGAATTTAATACAAATTAAAAAATATTGATAATTTCATCGTGAAAGAATCTGTATGAAAGAATATTTATTACTACCAAACTCCACCGATAATAATTACATATACAACAAAAAAATTCAGGAATTTGGTATGAGAAAAATGAATAGAAAAAGAAAATCAATGGAGCATGTAGGTAATCACAAGCGCCAGCAACATAAGAAAATAAGCAATATTTTGATCCATTGCAGTGCCATCACTGGTGGGAGCAGGTGCCGGTGAAAGATCCAAATTCTGAGCATGTCCCGTATGAGATATTGCCATCAACAAAATACTCAGAATTCGGAACATGAAAATACTCACTGTCTTCATTATTTTCTGGAAAAAAGAAGCTAGAAATTGATGAGAAAATCTTGAAATTAAAGGGTATGTGTGTGTGTTTGAATTTGAAGTTAAGGGGAAAATGGTGTTAGTATTTATAGGTAGATAGAAGAAGGAAGAGTAAAATGAGGCGTCTGAGAAATTTCAACGAAACAAGCTGCTGAGTTTAAAGACGCGTCAGCTACTTCGACTCGGTTGGCAACTCGTTGACGCAGTTGGTGACATCATATCATTGAAAAATATAAATATTTACATGTGTCGCAAGAATGTGCAATTAGTGTCATATATGTGTGTTTTTTGTGCCTTACAAGTTTCGATTCAAACAACTACGTTAAAAGGTTTCATTGAACTGAACACCAAATTTTCTAGAAACACTTCTCATATTGTTTACTCTACAAAATAATTGCATATATATATATTGTTTAACTAATATCCGTGCAAATTCATGCTTAATCGATTTAATTATTTATTAAGTGCATGTTTCAATTTTGCTGCGTTTGAGATAATTACATTGAGCCACGGTAATGTAATAAAATCTACTTAATATTGTTCTTACAAAATTAAACATGTATCTACATTTTTATTTTATTGAGTATTGATTTAACAAGATTTTTTCTTCTAGTATTGTGGTTGATCATGAAAATTTTGCTAACAAACTTTGGTACGATTGTTTTTGACTTTTTTAAATATGTTTGATGTGGGAGCTATATGTGCAAATATTATGATGATCAAGTTTGTATAATCGCGAGTTCAAGTTTTAGAATAGTGTATATTTAAGTCTGCCTTATATTCAAGTCTGGTTTGAAGTCTTCATTCTTAAAACCTTCTTTAAAGACAATTGTCTTGTGGAATAGGTGTAAAAATATCTCGTAGATCGTCAAGTGTTAGCATTAGTCTAGAAATATGAAACTTTCAAAATGGAAGAAGGTGGAACTATTGAGACTATGCTCTAAACATTTCAAACTTTAGTGGCAGGACTCAATATTCTAGACAAAAGTTATACGACAACAGATCATAGAAATGAAGACCAATGGTAACTGCGTTAAAGCTCTCCAAAGATCTGAACAACATTAGTCTTGAAGAGTTAGTTTGTTCTCTTAGGAGTCACACAATTGAGTTAGAGGAAGATGAACCTCAGAAAAAGGCTAAATCCATTGCTCTAAGATCAAGAACAGAAAAGAGTAAGTCATTGAAATAAAAGGCTCTCAAATCTGAAGAAGAAGAAGAAGAAGACTCGATGAAGATGCATCAGATGATGAAGAAGAACTATCACTCATTACCAGAAGAGTCAAACAACTCTGGAAAAGACAAAACAACTTCAAAAGAGCTAGAAGGGATCTCTCAGACTCATATTCAAGGGATAACAAAGAAGTTACATGTTATGAATGTAATGAACAAGGACATTACAGAAATGATTGTCCAAAGCTGAAGAGAGAAAGTTTTAGAAATGAAAGTTTTAAGAAAGACAAATTCAAGGGTAAAAAGAAAGGTCTTATGGCAACATAGGATGATTCTAAAGCATTAGAATCTGGCTCTGACGAGGAGCATGCCAATGTAGCATTCACAGCTATCATGTCAGAAAGAAGTGTATCAGAAACTGAGTATAAAAGAAGAGATATTTTCTGACATCTCTCGTGCTGGTCTTGAATTAGTTTTATCTAGATATTTAAGTAAATATCAGAAGCTACCTATATTCATCAGAACAAATATACAAAAGAACTTCTGAATAAGTTTAACATGTCAGAAAGTAAACATGCTAAGACTCATATGCATCCCACATGTATTCTGCAGAAAGAGGATGCAGGTACAAAGGTTTGTCATAAGCTATATTGTGGTATGATAGGATCTTTTTTCTATTCGACTACTTCCCGTCCAGATATTCTATTCAATGTATGTCTCTGAGCTCGTTTTCAATCAAATCCAAGGGAAACTCATTTAACTTTTGTTAAGAGAATCCTAAAATATCTTAATGGAACTTCTAACCTTTGCTTGATGTATATGAAAACATCATAATACAAGCTATAAGGGTTCTGTGATGCAGATTATGCTGGTGACAGGATAGAATGTAAAAGCACTTCTGGAAACTGTCAGTTTCTGGGTAATAACCTCATCTCTTGGTCTAGCTAAAGGAAATCAATGATTACTTTATACACTCCAGAAACTGAATATATTTTGGATCACATTGCAGAACTCAGGTGCTCTGGATGAAGAATCAACTTAAGTACTTTCAGATATATGAGAATGGAATTCCCATCTACTGTGATAACACTGCTACTATCTGTCTCAGTAAGAATCCTATCCTACACTCCAGAGCAAAACACATCAAAATTAAAATTATTTTATTAGAGAATATATTCAGAAAGGGACCTTCGTTTTGAAATTCATAGATACAGACCATCAATGAGTTGTCATCTTTATAAAACCCTTAGTTGAAGGTAGATTTTTGTTCATTATGAAGAACTTAAACTTGGTATGTTATCCATAATGAATAATTTCTACTATTTAGCTTGATTAAAAAATTTCTTTCACTAATACTTCTATGAGTTAGAATATGTATGTGTCAAAAACATCTCAAATAAACAATTTTTTGAGATCATTAAGATTGGTTACCAAAAGCTAGTTAAAATTTGAAAAGGAACTTGTCAATTCAAGATCTTAACTACACCATTGGAAATACTTTGAGCAACAGAAGTTTTCTTGAGAATATGTTAAAATTCTTCACACTCTATCCCTACTTTGAATATGTCAAAACCTATATTACTAAGGATTATTAAGCACACCACACATATTTTCGTGTCTTAATTGTCTTCTTGTTTCATTTTTTCCCTGACACTTGTCTTCAAAATGAAAGTCTTTTCTGTTTCTTTCCTTTTCTAGCTAACTTATTTATTGCTCTATCCGTCTCAACTTTGACTGCATCTGAAGGAAAATTTTCTCCTGTCAGTCACATTTTCTCTCTTATATTCATTCACATCCCTCATTCTTTTCCATTCTTCATCCATTATGTCTTCAAACACCTCACTTGGAAATTAGGAGAACTTGGAGATTCTTTTTTAAGAACGTCTAGACTTTACTAGTCTTCTCAATGGTGGTTGCAATTTGTCTCTAGCTATTCAATTTCAAGGTTGGTCTGGGTATTTTTCTATGTTGCATGGACCCGTTTATCCAAACTTGGTCAAGAATTTCTGGAAAAATGCATTTGTAGATGTTCATGGTAGATCTGTTTATTCAATCGTATTTGGTGTTTCTTTTGTCACCACTCTTGCCTCCATATCCAAAGATATATGATGTGTTGGAACTTATGGGATCACGGTGGATAAGTTCGGGCTAAAATACACATTTATTGAAAAACTCATTTCCGTCCATGATGTCGCATCTTCGTATGAGCCTACTAATCCAACAAAGCTTCTTTTTATTGGGATAATCAGGTTTAGATTCCTTCTTAACAACTTCATGACTCAAGGAGATCATCTAAGCACTTTGTCTCATGATGACAAACTTTTCATCTATTTTCTACTCAATGATGTTAAGATTAATCTGCCTCAAACCATTTTTAATTATCTAAAAGAGTCCATTGTAATCTCCAGAAGTCGAAACAAGTCCTGCATACCTTATGGAAGAGTTATCTCTGAACTATTCTATAAATAAAATTTGGTTGGATTGATTCGAATGAATGGACCAAAAAATGATCTTGCAGAAGAAAGATGTGAATTCTTTGGATCGTATTAAGAAGTGTCCACTATCACCTTCCTTGTTTGTTCTATTATATTTTCATTGTAATATCTTAATCATAAATGAAAAGTTGTTTCGTTTGTGCTTAAAAAACTTAGATTTTTAATAACTTTTTAATTATGACAAAAAGGGGGAGAAAGTAGTGATGATTTTGATATATATATATATATATATATATATATCTTAAATCACATTGCTTACATTCTAACAAGACAAAATTATATATACAAACTATTTAAAATGTCTTTTCAGAAATATTGTGCGCATCTCTAACAAATCAAGTTCTGGTATAGAACGACCAATGTTTCAAATGTTCTGGAAGATTGGATAATCTAATAAGCTTAAAAGGTTAAATAAATGATTTTTATTAGATTCAAAAAAGATGGAAAAAATGCTCCTAAAGCTCTGAAAGTCAACAGTTTATGATTCTGGGGGAGATTGTTTATCCCTGGGGGAGTTTTCTAAAACTCTTATATTATTTTGTATATGATTTAACCTTGTAAAATTGTTCCATCAAAATACATAGTTTTGTCATCATCAAAAATGGGGAGATTGTTAGAACAAGATTTGGATATGTGTTTAAATCTCTATGTTTTGATGATAACAATGCATATATTTTAGTTCTAATGGTTTCATTGAGTGCGCGGATAATAGAATTCTGGATAGTCTTAATCAAGATATCATCAGAATCACTTTAGCACTCAAAAAGAAAACCATTGAGTTCGTTTATAATGAAAAATCAGTAGTTCTCTTGAATGTTGAATGTTCGACAAGAAAAAAAAATCTCAATATGATTCTAAGAAGAACTTCTGATTCTAGATCAGAAATCAAAGAGCCAAGAAATCAAAATTCAAAGATCAACTCAGTATCAAAATCAGATTATAGTATTTTTAAATATATCATCAGAAACACCATTGCACTCGCCTGAAGAACTATTGTGACCGTTTCTAAAGAAGCATCAATAGTTCTAAGAAATGTTGAATGTTCGTCAGAAAGGGAATCAAATGTGTTCTCAGAAAAGTGCCACTCTCAAATCATAAATCACATACACTTCCAGAGAAAGAGATCGAGATCAGAAAGGAAAAGGATCAGAAACAAAGAAGTATTTGACACAAACTTTGTGCTTCTAGCTCAAATATAAGATCATAATTAAAGATCAAAATCCAAGATCAGAAGTCAAGAATCAAGGATCAGATCAAAAAGTATGAATCAGAAATTCAGATGTACTGACATACGCTTTTGGTTCAGAAATTAGACATTAGATATACATCTCAGAAAAGCTATTATCATAAATATAGATCATATCAAGACATAGTGGACCAGAAAAGCTTTCATTCAC